TTCTTTCTTTCTTTCTCTTTCTTTCTCTTTCTTTCTTTCTTTCTTTCTTTCTTTCTTTCTTTCTTTCTTTCTTTCTTTCTTTCTTTCTTTTTAAAGATTTTATTTATTTATTTGACAGAGAGAGACACAGCGAGAGAGGGAACACAAGCAGGGGGAGTGGGAGAAGGAGAAGCAGGCCTCCCACGGAGCAGGGAGCCCGATGTGGGGCTCCATCCCAGGACCCTGGGATCATGACTCCAGCCGAAGGCAGATGCCTAACGACTGAGCCACCCAGGCGCCCCAAAATTGTTCTTTTTTTAATATAACATTTTGAATAGACAATATACCCACGTAGTTCAAAAACATAAAATTCAATGAAAATACAATGTACACTGAAAAGTCTTGCTCTTACCCAAGTCCTCCACCTCATTTCTCCAATGAAAGACGAACCAGGTAACCACTTGGGTTCATTTCTTGTGCATTCTGCCAATGCTTCTTTCTATAAGAAACTATGAGTATATATTTAAAATCTTCTCTGTTTTATATCCAAAAGGTAGCATTCATACATACTTTTCCCAGCTTAAAAAAAATGTAACAATATAGCTTGGAGATCTTTCTGTGCCAATAATAATAATAATACAAAGCATAGCTAACCCTTATCTTGATACTCTTCTAATGCTTTACATATATTAACTCATTAATCCTCATGACAACGCTATCAGGTAGGTTCTGTTATTATCTTGATTTTACAGATGGCAAAACTGAGGTACAGAACACACATACCAGTGGTATGCTGATAATATGTAACACATGGCTAAGAAAAAAGTTCCCATCTGTAGCATTTGCCAATTTCGGAGGTGTAAATATCCCCACCATGGCTGATTTCCAGCTAACAACTTGAAGATACTGAACACCAAGCTGGGAGGAGATGCCCAGTCACGTACCATTATGTAATATTTCTCTCATACAGGTGTTTAGACCTAAATAGCCTAGTCAAGACATAGATAACAGTATAGTAAAATAACTAGGAGGTGATGAATTGAGTATTTATTATCTTTGTAATAGTTATTTAATCATAAGTTTATATAATTTAATTTTTAATAATTGCTGTGCTAAACAAACAGTTGACAAAATCCTTGAAAATTGAGGATTTTGTGACCCAGGGTGACTATGCTGCATGTTACATAGAACTTAATCCAGACTTAACCCCGAACAATTCAGAGTCCATGCCTTTAAGCATGCCTTAAAAAAAAAAAAAAGTTTATTTACTTATTTGAGAGAGAGAGAGAGCATGAGAGGGCGTCGGGTCGGGTCAGAGAGAGAAGCTCCCTGCTGAGCAGGGAGCCCGATTCGGGACTTGATCCTGGAACTCTGGGATCATGACCTGAACCGAAGGCAGTTGTTCAACCAACTGAGCCACCCAGGTGCCCTAAGCACTCCTTTAAAAAAAATTTTTTTTATTTTATTTAAATTCAATTAATTAACATATAGTGTAATATTAGTTTCAGAGGTAGAGTTCAGTGATTCATCAGTTGCATATAACACCCAGTGCTCATTACATTACATGCCCTTTTTAATGCCCATCACCCACCTATCCCTCCCCCCCCCATCTAGCAACCTGTTTGTTTCCTATCGTTAAGAGTCTGTCATGGTTTGTCTCCCTCTCTGATTTTGTCCTATTTTATTTTTCGCTCCCTTCCCCTATGATCCTCTGTTTTGTTTCTTAAATTCCACATATGAGTGAAATCATATGGTATTTGTTTTTCTCTGATTGACTTATTTCGCTTAGTATAATACCCTCTGGCTCCATTCATGTCATTGCAAATGGTAAGATTTCATTTTTTTGATGGCTGAGTAATATTCCATTGTGTGTGTGTGTGTGTGTGTGTGTGTGTGTGTGTGTGTGTGTGTGT